AAAGTTACATGCTCAATTGGTCACATTCCAGGATGTGACTAGAGCCCAGCTGTCCCTGAAATGAAGCCCATTTCATAAGATAATAAAGGCAAACGCAGAGGAAAACACCAAAACATCTGGCTCTTGTGGCCCGTAGCTATTTATTCGTTTATTTATTTTGGGATTAGCTGAAACAACCAGAAGTAATCAAGCAGCCTCAAATTCTTCTGCAGAACACAAAGGTTGGCCAGCTATCAGGTGGGGATTTGGGCTCTTCTGGATGTTTGTCTTAATTTGAGGGAATACAGGTAGTCCTTGACCCATGTCTACCTATTCTGCCCTGTTTTACGACCCTTTCTTGCCACAGCTGTTCAGTGAATCACTGCAGTTGTGGGCAATACGGTTGTTAAATGAATTTGGCTTCCCCCAGTGACTTTGCTTGTAAGGAGCTCACAAAAGTTGACCCGGGACACGGCGACCGTCATAAATACGAGTCCGTTGCCAAGCGCCCAAATTTTGATCACATGACCACGGGGATGCTGCAAGGGTTGTTAAGCATGAAGCACGGTCATCAGTCACTTTTTTCCCAGGGCCGTTGTAACTTTGAACGGTCACTAAACCGTTGTAAGTTGAGGACCACCTGTAAACAGCCCTTCCGGGTGCGCTTCAAGGTGCTGACCATCATCTTTAAGGCGCTCCATGGCATCGGACCGGGATATCTTCGAGACCGCCTTCTGCCGCAGATTACCTCCCATCGGCCTGTGCGCTCCCACAGGGTGGGTCTCCTCAGGGTGCCGTCGGCCAGACAGTGCCGGCTGGCGACCCCAAGGGGGAGGGCCTTCTCTGTGGGAGCTCCCACCCTCTGGAATGAACTACCCCCCAGAGATCAGGGTGATCCCTGATCTCCCTTCCTTCCGCCGCGCCCTTAAGACATGGTTATTCCAACTTGCAGGACTGGCCTAGGGGAAAATTTTTAATGGGGGTTTTAAAGTAATTTTTAACTAACTAGACCAATTATTAATATTTGTTTTTAATTATGTTTTTAATCTGTAGTTTTTTGGGATTAGTATTTTTATCTGGTTGTTAGCCGCCCTGAGTCCGCAAGGAGAAGNGCGGGATATAAATTAAATTAATAATAAATAAATTAATAAATAAAAAAAAATAAAGTGCAGAGCTGGAAGAGATTCAGGTCATCTCAAAAGTCCATCTAGATAATGCTATAGGGTCTTCTGCTGGAGCAGGGGGTTCTTCTACCAAATCATCTTCAAAATGGTTGAGTCCTGGAAGATATTGATTACACATCTTCCTTTCTCTCTCCTCGTGTATAGTAAGCACAGTGAGTTCAATCTCTTAGGTGCAAAGAAAACAAGGGACTAGCTAATCTAGAGCTGAGTTACCTCCTTGCAGTTGGACCTAGACAAAACCACGGCAGGTTAAGCCACGTACGTCTTTATGGAATAGGCATGTTGACCATAGATGCTGCATCGGCCACATCAGCTCTCTCTCCAAAGCTTCACTCAAGAATTCTCTTTCACTTCACTCCTCCACTAAGCCAAGGAGGTCCAGAAATGGCTATGCTCTGAGTTCAAAAGATCCAAGTCTTTTCCCTTTCCTTCTGTGAACTTCTTCTGGCTAAAGGAGACCCTTGCAACAGACAAAAGAGGTTGGATCAGAAGACCTCCAAGGTCCCTTCCAACTCTTGTTATTATTCTGTATTCAGTTCTACATGGGCAGCCTGATTTAGACCATGGTCTAAGATGGCTAACATGTTCCCCCCAATAGATCTGCTTCCAGAAACAATATTTTAAGTTAGATTAATAAGATGAACACCAGTAATTGTGTATGTACACAAGACAGCCTTCCCAGCAGCAGGAAACACCTGTGCTCTCCAGGATGATGGTTGTCAGCCTAATTTTCAAGGATCTTCCTCTAGGCAGTGTTGCTTAAAGTTGCTGGGATTGAGACACAGTATTTCAGATCATCTTTGAAGCTCTGGGAATTGCAATCTGAAGTTGAATTCAGTCATACTAAACTAGCCATTGTGCATATTAAACTTCTGTCTGCTGCCTTGTGACTTTTAATAATACTTAATTCTTTAATAGCACATCCTTCCTGTGTGAAGCGCTCTGCCTTAAAGATTTCTGCCTGTTATGTTCTCTGCAATGGGTTGAGGCTCATTTCATGTGTCTGGGACTCATTTCATATGCAAAACAGGTCATTAATGTTTTGGAATACCTTCCCAAAAGAATGCACCTTACAAAAGCACATAGAAAAAGTCACTTTGGTGTCAGATTTCAAGCTCCGATGCGTTTAAGCGGTCAGATCTCTGGGCTGAAATTCAGACATTCTAGGTACTAAAGAAAAGATATTAGAGTGGACATAAATGTATGATTTATTCTCCAGTTTGCCATCGATTCTGGAAATAAAGGCACACAAAGGGAGGCAACGAGAGTTCCGGGACTCTCACAATTAAAATTATTTGCTGTAAAAAATAAATTACAAGACCTCCAAATTTGATACAGAAATGTTTAAAAATGCAATTCGTCTGATTCCATACAAAGGCAGGACAAGCTTCCGAGTACTGGATGAACGGTGGTGGATTTAGGTTACATAGAAACATGACACCAGAAATATGGGGGTGCAACTCCCAGAATCCTCCAGTAGGTTTGCTGGGGAATTCTGGGAGGAGCATGCCCAAAAGACTTGGTGGGTACCAGCGATTCATGCTTTTACAATGGCAGGAACAAGAGGAAAGAACTCGAGAATACTTTAAAGAGGGCTAGAGTTGTGTTACTTTGATTCTGCAGAGGTGTAACTGGACACCAGCATCCACAGAGTGGGTCAAAAAGGCAGCCATGGTCACGTGATTGATGCATAAAAAGGGGGATGGGGCTTTGATCATGCAGTTGTGGCCACCAACTCACCTGTTTTGACCCCTTCAGTGGACTGGTAGGTGAGGTCAAAGCATTAGACAGGTAACACTTCAGATGGCACAATTTGCACAGGTTTGTTAGTGGCTGGGATAAGGTTGTGGTGTTTGGAGAAAAAGGAAGTGGAGATCTTTCTCGTAACTTGGAGAGAAACCCCTTCTCCTATGAGGCTTGAGTTCTGAAATAGCCACCAGGTTTAAAAACAAAAGAGGAAAGGAGAAGAAAGAGAGACAAATCATTTAGATTTTTTTTTCCTGTGCCCAAATAAAGAAACGAAAGAGGAAGATTGAAAGAAGCATCAGGATGGGCCTTGCACATTGGGGAACTGCTATCTTCTAAAAAAATAATAATAATAAAAGCCAATATTACTCCTTGAAAAAAAAAACTGGATAGTTACCAAGCGTTTGGCTGGGTCATTCTTACAAGTAAAAACAGGGACAAGACATTTAGAAAATGAAAAGCATCCCATTGGAAGGGTCCCTGTTGCTTTAGATTAAGTCACTCCCTGGGGTCTTGGGCACTACCCAGGGGAAGGAGAGTAACAGGTAGTTCTCCTCCTACAGCCACTCATTTAGTGAGTGTCTGAAGTTATGACGGCGCTGGAAAAAGAGACTTGTGACCATTTTTCGCACAGCCAGTGCAGCATCCTCCTGGTCACGTGACCAAAATTCGGATGCTTGGCAACTGGCATGTACTTATGACGGTTGCAGCGTCCCGGGGGTGTGTGTGTCATGTGATCCTCTTTGGTGACTTTCTGACAAGCAAAGTCAACAGGGGAAGCCAGATTCACTTCCCAACCGTGTTAGTAATTTAACAACTGCAGCGGTGCATTTAGCAACTGGGAAAAGAAAGGGGGCAAAACTCACCTAACAATTGTCTTGGTTAGCAATGGAAAATTTTTGGCTCAGTTGTGGTCGTACGTTGAGGAACACCTGTACTTATTCAAAGCTGCCAATCTAGCACAATCTGTTGGAGAATTTGCCCATGGGTTGCTCGGGAAACTTTGCCCCCTCAGTATAAAAGGGGAGGTGGGCACCCAGGCTTCTTAAAGTCACTCAACTACAAGGCTTCGGGCCTACTATGATTGCCCGCATCGCTCCGTCTTAACAGCAAGGGAGTAAGCAAGGTGATTTATTGGGTGTGTGTGAAGGGGGCTCTGGGTTCAGAGGGGTCTGAAGTACAGGTGAGTAGGGTGTGTGTGTGTGTGTGTGTGTGTCTGTGTGTGTGTGTGTGTGTGTGCAGGAGATGGGGAAGATTTCAAATCCCCCCCAAGAGGCCTGGTTACCCACAGACTCGCCGTTTGATATAAAACCGAAGCAGCAATTTTTATTGACGTACCTAAACTGAAAATAAAAAGTTTTAGAACATAATTTAAAAAAAAATAATAAAACAAAAGAAAGCAAAACCAGCAGAAGTAGCAAAATATACGATTTGTCTGCGTTTTCTTTTATAGCAACTGATAACCTACCAGTCGCTAGTAACTTACTATTATCGAGGTGATATTCTCTCTGGTAACCACCATTTAAAAAAAAAAAAAGACATGTAAATATATAATTAATATTTATACATTTTGTGGCAGCTATGTACAAAAGTTCTTTTAGTTTCCTTTGTGTTTGTCTGAATGTGTCCAAGCCCTGGATTCCTGGGGCTGCCTCCTTTATATTTTAGGCCAGAACTGTGTATGGTGTATGGTGTTAGTAGATCGCTTTCAGGTTTGGCCAGCGAAGTACCAATGGACAGTGCGCTCCTAAGACACATCAGAAGCAATGGGGTTGCTTTCTCTGCTCCGCCTGCTGAATGTTGAATTAAGATGTCGCGTGAGACAGTAACGGATCCTCAAGTAGCAGGCGCTAAAGATTTTTCAGCTTAAGAGAATCCTGATGCCCACAAGTAGCATCATGCAGAGCAGCTTTGATTTTTGCTTTCTGAGCTCTCAGGAGGTTGCAGAACTTGGATTTACTGTATGTGTGAGAAAAAAATAAAGGACTTTCATCTTCGTGGGAATGTTCTTCACCCCCCCCTCCAGAATCTCCTTCTGAGAAGTAACAACGTGCTTCTGCCTAGGAATAGACATCTGGATCTTCCTTTGTTGTTGTTATTGTTTAAACACCGCTTCCTACCCCAGATCACAAGATTTGTATGAGCAGCTCTTCGGAAGGCTTAAGGCTTGCAACAGATGGCAGTGTGTTGAAGAAGATGATGGTGGTGAGTAGGTCTGGTTACTTGGAATGGACTTTTCGCAGTTCTTTAATGGCTGCCCTCCAGTGGTCCTCCCTCCAGCCCAGCTGGATAGAGTCTGTGCACACACACACACACACACACACACCCATTCATTCACTGACACACAGACTTCACCCTCGTATGCACAGAAGGGTCCCACAGAGGTTGCAGCATCAGCGCCTTTTCAGGCCACCGTTGGCAAGGTGAGGTGGATGCTTGGGAAGACAAGGTTCATCAGGGAGAGGATCATGGGAAAAAACAGAGTCCTCCCCAGAAGAGCAGGTGGAACTGCGAGTGTCTGGGAAACTGGGGGAATACTGGTCCAATGGTAGAGAGAGGTCCAGGTATTCCTAAAGAGAATGAGAGAATTGTGAGGACAACGTCTAGTGCTCTTCTCAAGGTGAAGGAAGGACCTTGGGGACAAGTTCAGATGAAAATAAGAGAAACAGGGAATGAGTCACAAAAGTTGAAGTTTGCTCTGATGGAACTCCCACCTACAATTATATGCATGAGTAGCTATCTTTCTATGACTTCCTAAATGAAATGAAGCGGATGTAATTTCTCTTGAAGGAAGTACAAAAGGGAACAATGGAAGAGGGAATGTGTAGCTCAAGGTTAAACTGTAGGGTCCTTGATGCTCTCTAAGCTTGGTTATCTTGCAGACTTTTCATTATCAACTATCAAACTATACAGTGCTATACATTTCTTTTTTGGTTTGGAATATTTCGCTGTCTTATCCAAACCTGAAGAAGCTACTTGCATAAGCAGCAAAATATTTCAAACAAACAAACAAAAAAAGAGAAAGAAGTCCAGTTACCATGTCTGGATCATCAGTGCTACCATTTATTACCTAGTTTGGTAATGAAACGTCTGCAAGAAAACCGCCAAGCTCAGAAAGCATCAAGAACTTCTACAGTACAAAACTCAACCAGATATCTTCCTGCAGCTGTGAAGACACATTTATGAATTCAGGTGCCGTTATTTACAGACTAAAAACAGTGTCTATGTTCTGTTTTGCTTTGCACCATACAGAGGTTGTATCACCTTCTGCTTATTTAGAAATTCACTGACACGTGTAGTTGGGCTAACAGTGCCTATAACTGTTCATGCAATGATATGTATGAACTGGAATCTCTACTTCTTCAATTAGGAACAGAGAGTCAAGTACTCCCAGTAGTGACCAAAGCTGGAACTGAGCATCCAGGTTTGAATAAGCTACTTAGTCCAGAATAGGACTAATTGCAGACATCAACTGTTTTAGCCCCAGAACCCTTCTGATTTTATCGTCAAAAACCAGTAGATAATTTCCTGATGTATGAGACAAATAAATAAACAAACAGGGTAATTTGTACCCTATAATGATCCTAATTTAATTTTAAAAATAGTGCAACCAGCCTAAAATCTCAGATAATTTGCCCCTAATGCTTATGATTTTCCAGTGCCCACTTTACATCACTGCCCTACCTAATTGTTTTGTCTACCTACTCACCCACCTCCCATAAGAAAGCAGTAAAAAAACCTTCCAGCAATTTAATTAGGGCAAAATGGACGTTGGGCGTGTGTTACCTGGTTTGAGGTCAGGGCCACGATCCTATCTAAGTCTTCAACCAGCTGCTTAAAGGTCGGCCGTTGGGATGGAACGGCGTGCCAGCAATCCCGCATCATCATGTACCTGGGAAGAGAGAACAACTAAGGTGCCTGCATCTAAGCTGTTAAAACCAGAGCGGAATGGGCATCTCACCACGAGCAATGCACCATGGGACAACTCCATGTGGGAGAACTATGCAATAAATGTAATCCGCCACTGTTCCTTCATTATTTCCATTGACATTCCATTGATCGGAAGATGTGGAGAGACCTGGCCCATGGAATCTATCAAGAGTTGGATATGACTGAATGGATAACGTTATCATCACCCACCCAACTGAGCACTCACAATTCATTGGTGCAATTGCTGGGCTTGTCCATTCGATGCCCCTCTTTCAGCAGTTTGAACAGCTCCTCCACTGGCACTCCTGGGTACGGCGAGCCACCCAGGGTGAAGATCTCCCACAAGAGGACACCGAAGGACCACCTGGTTAGGACATAAGATAGATCATGCCTTACGAGCGCAGCAATTACAAGCAGGCTATTACTTAGTGGTAGACAGTCAATGGACTTATGGAGCCTTGGTAGTTTCTGGTTTTGTTTTAAAGTAAACTTGCAGTGGTGTAAAGGAACACACCAAAAGAAGGAGGCCCTCAAACTGGCAACCAGATGGAAGCCAACAGCAGATTTTAGACCCATCCACCCTTTGTGCCAAGTAATACAGACTGGAAATACTGTTCTTGCTTATAGAAATTAGCATTTCATTAAGCTGAGATGGATCACATCTGCTATATTCCACCTTGGGGAATAATCCCCAGCATACTAGCCTTAATTGAAAATGCTAGAAAATTTAAGGGGCCTGTGATCTGCAACCAAATTAATTTGTGTGTGTGTGTGTGTGTGTGGGATGTTAGGAAAGAAGGGAGAATGTAATTCTAATTAAACAGGCAGGACCAGAAGGGGAAACCATAAGTGGACACAGTGGGAGCATGATGGCTGAGTCAACTGAGGCAGGAAAGTGAAGATGGGAGCTGTAGCTTTTATCCCAACACACTACCCAAGCTTCCCGTCTAGAGACAAGAGCCTCTGAGTTGGAGTAGATGGGAAGAGAACAGAAAACTCATCGTTCTTGGCATTTATTTGGCATGCAGGTAATTCTATCTGCCACTTGTGGGACTGCAAGCTTGGAAATTGGTATTCAAGGAGCAAGGATGGTGGTGGTGAAGTTATAAGACACACAGACATTTGCTACTGTTAAGTGCAAGCCATCAGATGCACGCAGGTAGGGTTTAAGCCAACTACTTTATTATATTCTGCCTATTATACAGGAATCTCCCCAGACTGCCAGCCTTCACCTGGGAACAGATAGATATGGCTCTATGGAGCTTAAGGAGGAGGTCAGTTCTGGATCTCTTGTGGCTACGCAAGGGTTTGAGGCTAATTCTGCATTTGAGATCTTTCTGCGGCCTGGCTGGGAGTTTCCCAATAACTATCCAGCTCATGAGAGAGTACTAGGCGCAGAGAATCAACATAGAGGTTCAATTGAAAATCTTTTCTAGTACTGTACTTTAAGGCAAAGGTCCCCAACCTTGTGGTTTGGTGGCCCGGCTTGGTGGGGGGGGCAGAGGGGAACCAACCCTTATGAGCGATGGCCCAGCGCATGCGTGTTCAGTGTGATTGGTGGCCCGGCACATGAGCACACATGCAGCTTGATTTGTACGAGTTGAGTTGTGTGCACGTGTGTGTGTGTGCCGGTCCACCGCTCAAGCAAATTGAGCTGTGTGCACGCACATGTGTGAATGGGCCACGGCCCGATAGTGAGCCACAGCCCAGGGTTTGGGGACCCCTGCTTTAAGGAGTCAGAGAAATACTCACACGTCGCTCTGGTGGGTGTATATTCTATCGAACAAGGCTTCTGGGGCCATCCATTTGACTGGCAGACGACCCTAGAAAGCAGCAAAGAGTCCACTTTAATCCAGAATTACGAGGAAGAGAGAAGTGCCAGGGGAAAAGATCACTAATGCAGAAGATTACGAGACAGAAAGGACAGTTGGGCCACCAGTGATCACCCAGGCTTAAATTCAGCACATAGCCTAACATCGATCCTTTAGTCCAACTTGTCCCACTGATCTGTATCAGAAAACGGACCGCAGTTAGGACTAGTAAGCAACACTCTGCTCATAGGCATCAATATACCCAAAGAGATCTCCTCTAGTTCAAAGCAGTCTTCCTGTCCCTGTTTTCTGCAAATTTCCATATCCTTTCTTACAATTTCCTACTGAGCTTTTTTGCGATGCTTGAACACATGGCATAATCTGAGCCCCCTTCGAGAGATGCCACTCACGTTTGTCGTCTTCTTGTAATAATCTATGTGGTGAATGTCTCGAGCCAGGCCAAAATCAGCAATCTTCATCACAATTTCTTCCGTTACCAGCACATTCCTGGCAGCCAAATCTCGGTGAATACACTAAACAGGAAAACATAACAGACCTCTTATAGTGGAGCAGCTCTGGAAGGCAAAGACAAAGCCTTGGGGCTGAAGATCAGCAAAAACCAGCAAAAACTAAGTGTATCTTCTTTTTTGTTTGCTTCTATCCTGCCTTCATTTTTACAAACAACTCAACATTTCATTAAAAGGCTAAAAATTATGTCAAGACAAAAAAAATAATAATGATATAAACCAAGCAAATTCTGGAACCAGGTCATAAGTAGCTCCAGGGAGGTCTGCTGTAACTTTGAATGATCGTTAAATGATCATCTGTTAAGTGAATGCTATCTGTACATTGTCCCATGACGTATGTATTACGGCAGCTCCCAAATCAGCAGTCATCTCATCAACCATTCTATTACTTTCTTCCTGATCCTTTTAACTCCCAAGTGGGGTTTTGTTAGTCTAGGGCAGGGGTAGGCAACCTTGGCTCTTTTATGACTCCTGGACTTCAAGTCCCAGAATTCCTGAGCCAGCCACGCTGAGAGGAAAGGGAGAGGTTTCCATGCTGAGCCATGCTGGCTCAGGAATTCTGGGAGTTGAAGTCCACGAATCATAAAAGAGCCAAGGCTGCCTACACCTGGTCTAGGGCCACTGGTCTCTCCAACGTTTAGTTTTTAAGGCTCCTCAAAATGTCTCTCCAATTGCACTGCCATTTTGAGGCAGGAAGCACCCCAAAATAGTACTGTTTCAACCATTTTTAATGGATAATAGAGTACACAGTAACAGTACCGATTTTATTTTTGATTTGATTCATCTTGAGTCAGGTTTTACCACTGCAAGTCACCATGAGTGCTACTGTAAGTATAAAAGTGGGTGATGATAATAAGTGGCACCATCATTAAGGAAAATCCAACGTGAAGGGTCCTTGGTGCTCTCTGAGCTTGGTTGTTTTCTTGCAGACGTTTCATTACCCAAACTAGGTCACATCATCAGGGCTAGGACTGAGAAGAAGGACCAGCACTGATGATGTGATGTAGTTTGGGTAATGAAACGTCTGCAAGAAAACATCCAAGTTCAAAGAGCACCAAGGACCCCTCAACTACAAATATTCTCCTTTATTAAAATTTCTCCCAGACATCTTCATCTCTTCTGCTTTGGGTCCCAACTTATTTCACTGGGGCTCTCGATCTCGTAAGCTGCCAATCAGCTGCCCACAGTCTATCGTTCCTTCCTTTTGCAATCGCTCACCTTTTTCGATGCGAGGTATTCCATGCCCCTGGCCACTTGGTACGCACAGGATACCAGATCTTTGAAAGAGAGCTGCTCGTCTGGGACGTGGGTGGGGTTATAGCAATATTCCATGCCAGGAGGCCGACGGGCTTGTAGATATTCCCTTAAGTTCCCCTTGGACGCATACTCTACGATCACATAGAGCGGGCCTGACACAGAGAAAGACAAGAAGCTTCAGGTAGAGACAGTGATACTGTCGCCATCCCAGTTCATGTGATATTTCTGAAACCTCGCTGGCCAATCTGGAGTGACGGCCAGTTGAGGATGCCAAGAAAGAATGAGCAGGAGAGCTATCAGTGAGCGACTGCCTCCCAGCTTAGAAGCACCTACCATCTTGAGTACAGGCTCCAAGGAGATTGATGATGTTCTTGTGTTTTCCAATCATCTTCATCATCTCCATCTCTGAGATCAAGTCAGACAGGTCTTTTTCAGTGGCATCAGCTGGGGAGGAAAAAGATACCGAGTCCTGATTGGATCAAAGATGCACTGAAGGGGAGATTAAGATACTGGAAGCGTCCGGTCGAAATAAGTCTCCTATTAATAGCACTAGTTAGAGACTTATATACTGCTTCATGGTACCTTACGGCCTTCTCTAAGTGGTTTACATAGCCAGCATGGGTCCTCATTTTATCCACCTCGGAAGGATAGAAGGCTGAGTCAACCTTGAGCCAGTCAGGATCGAACTGCTGGCAGTCAGCAGAATTAGCCTGTAATACTGCATTCTCACCACTGCGCCACCATGGCTCTTCATATATGAAATCTGCATTCAGTGAATTTCAAATCATCCTGGGTGTCTATGTGTGTGCGTGCATTCCCGACACAGCCATACACACACAGCTGCACACACATATTAAAGGAGATTTGAAGTACACCTGAAGCTGCAGTCACTGGTTGATGTGAAAGAATGGATACGCCCGTGTACGGGTTAAAATAAGTTCAAACGTTAAAAAAGCCCCCAAAGCCCCCAAACAGAATAAGATGATGGCTCTCATCAAGAGCTTCTTGCAATAAGCAAGACAAGGAGGGTTATTTGGAAATATAACCGTAACCTTACTTACATTTTAGCATTTTGACTGCCACTTTAGTAACTCGGTTTGGCTTGTCTTTATCCAAGCCTATTGCTTCAGCTAGTACAACCTGCCCAAAGCATCCTTCTCCCAGCGGTTTCCCTAGAATCAGCCTAGAATAAAAGCAAAGAAACATGGTTATTTTAGCAGGATGCTGCTAATCTCTGCCGTGAATTAACTGGCGTTCAGCCAAATGGCTTGAAGTGTGGGGGTCTAAATTGCTTTTTTTTTGCTTTCTGTTCAGTGAATCCAGCAAATATCTCACCGTTCCTCTCAGAGACTTTGTAGAACATTCTAGCATCAAAATCCAGGCCTAGTTGTTTAAGGTGAAAGGAATTCTACAAGGGTTATTAATAGTTATTTCCTTCTGGAATACAGGTAGTCCTCGACTTACGACCACAATTGAGTGTTCCAAAATTTTCATTGCTAAGCGAGACAATTGTTAAGCGATTTGGGCCCATTTTACGACCTTTCTCGCCACAGTTCTTAAGTGAATCACTGCAGTTGTTTAGCTCGGAACATGGTTATCGTTGCAGCATCCCCAGGGTCACGTGATCAAAATTCAGACGCTTGGCAACTGACTTGTATTTATGACAGTTGCAGTGTCCCCGGGGTCATGTGATCCCCTTTTGCGACCTTCTGACGAGCAAAGTCAATGGGGGAAGCCAGATTCACTTAACAACCATGTGACTAACTTAACTTAAGTGTGATTCACTTAACAACTGTGGCCAGAAAGGTCGTAAAATGGGGCAAAACTCACTTTAACAAATGTCTCACCTAGTTACAGAAATTTTGGGCTCAATTGTGGCCGTACGTGAAGGACTACCTGTACACTTAAAGAATCTCCCTCGCTTCGTGCTAAAAAAAATTCCTCCAATTGATGGTTCAGCAATGTGATCCTCAAAATTGGCTATGCATTTTTTTTTTTAAAAAAGGATCCTTGTTATGGAAAATAACATAATGTTTCTGGAAATTTTTCTGCCTCTGCCTTTTCAATTTATTACTGCATTTAGAAGGGAGGTGAGTACTCAACTCAATGGGCACCAAGCTTCCCCCACCAGTGACCCAGCTGTTCAAAAACATTAGACATGCCTCTTTGGCTGAGCCCATCCCAAATGGAGAGGAGAATTTGGTACCTGTCCCTGGGTAACTCCCAACGAGGGTCTTCTGGCAGTTCATATTCAGAGACCCCAGTCAGCATTGGAGTCCCGCTGGAGGAGAGCCTTGAGGGACGCACAAGCATCACACCGGAGTTCATGGAGGAGCTGGAATCAGCTGAGACCTGCACCAGAAGAAGGGAGAGCGTGGGGGTTACCTTTGTCAAAGTCTTCTTGAGAATACGCAGGTGGGAGTTTGGTAGGGGAAGAACTGCCTGCCCTCAAAACAATCCTATCGCCGTTTGCTGGAAATAGGTGCCCTTGCTGCTATAAAGATACTTTAAGATCTTGGGACTGGGGAGAAGACTCATGTATCAATGGTTGACCATTGACTTTGTAAGCAGAAGGAGCTACGTTCATTCCCATGAATGGAAAAAACTAGAAAACCTTCTGCTTGGTGATTCTGGAAAGCTACCATCAGCAAGTTTGTACACTACTTATCCTTAGACCAGAGGTCTCCAAACCTGGCAACTTTAAGACTTGTGGAGTTCAACTCTTAAAAATTCCTCAGCCAGCTATGCTACAATGCTACGATAAGCATTGTGTAAACTTGCTGGTGGCTATGCTGGCTGGGGAATTATGGGAATTGAAGTCCACATATCTTGAAGTTGCCAAGTTTGGAGACCTCTGCCTTTAACCAGGGTCCAATTTGGAATAAAATGGCTTCCTAAACTCCAGTCTCTCCAGAACTTGGAGTACATGAGCATTCTATAGCCCTTACCTTCTTTCTTATAGTCACAACATTTAAAATGGATTTAAATATTTTCCTGCCTCTGCATTGGAGTATGCCGGCACATGTGTTGCTCGATAGGGCTGTGAAACCAGTGCTTCATCGTGTGCTATCAGGATAGATGGCCACCACAAAATTGTACATTGGCTCCCGGCCGGCCTGGGCCAGGGCCAAGGCAGCAGGGGCCGTTCCCACACTGTTTCCAGGATGGCTTCACGGGCCACATGAAACCACTTCGCGGGCCCCATCCGGCCCCCGGGCCTTGTGTTTGACATGTCTGCTTTAAACCATCATGCATACTAACTCCTACTTAAGTGCAGGAGGAGCAAGCTAGCTCTGAATCAGAAGAGTCAGAGAACGTCTGGACCAGCCCTTGCAAACTGGGCCTCCCCCAGCCTCAACGAGCAGAACCGCCGAGATAAAAACCGCAAGGATACAAGATCAAAACAGCCACCTCACCCTCCCTACTCTTTGCAAGCCTCCACAGCAAATTAGGGTTGACTGTTTTGTGCCTCCCGTGGGCCACCTTGAATTGAATTATGGCTGGGAGAAGAGACTAGCAAGAGACAAGAACCCCCTTAACATGGCTCTCCTTTGCACGCGTATCTAAGCTCACTCATAATGTCAGACTCTGCTTTCTTCCAAGCACAATTATCACAGAGTCTCCTTGGAGAGGATTTTCGAGAAGAGGTTATAAAAATTCCAGCAACTGAACTATTTCCCATGTACAACCAACATGTCCCCAAGGTACAATAGGGCAGGAACCTTTTTCTAGTTGTTTTTCTAACTGCTTCTCGTGAAGCTTGCAGCTGGCTGTTTACATAAGAATCTTTAGAATTTTATCAGTCTGGGAACCAACTCTTATATCAACTTCACAACCATAAGAGCTCCATCGGAAGCCAGGGGCAAGAATCTTGAATGCATTCATATAAAACTGCCACTAAATGAGGAAAGAAATACAAAGCAAGGGGTCTGCTAATCTGTGGAAAGGGTGGCTCGCAGCGGTCTCAGGCTTTTAAATTCCAGAGGAGGTTAAGTAGCTTTTGCATCCTCACGTTGGCATAAAGCCACCAATTAATTTAAGTGGCTTGGTGTAGTGTACAATAAAGATCCTTAATTAGCCATGCCATGCGGAGGATCTGAATAGCTTTTGCTCAACTCAAGAAAGGGATCCTGATGCAGAATTCCCCGATGCAGGCTGGGAAGCTGGCAAGCCATCAAAATCACCTATTGTTGCAGCTGAAGACGAGATATTTGTACCCAGGCAAAATTTGCAAGGTGACAATTGTTCCACGGGGGGGGGGGGGAGACTGCCTTTTTCAAATGAGTTTTGGCTTAACGGATGCCTTAACATTATTGTCTTCGAAGAGTTTATTTTAGGGTTGATCGCTTTATCGCTTTGTCATTTCTACGAACGGGTTGTGTTTGTGTTGATTCCTGGCATGCTGTGCCGAGCCCCTCGGGTATCAAAAAGTAAGATGAAATACCCTGCAAACTCCAGGAATAATAAACCTGGATGTTTAAAAGGGAGAGCCTTGTGCAGTAGCTCTCGTCACAGGACACCCATCTTGATGGCTTCCAATACTTTCGCGTTATATGGACAGTCGTGATCGCTGGCAGTTTTGTACCTCTGAGATTTTTTTAACTTCCTTCTCAAGCGAGGCCCGCACTCTCATTAATGAGACTTCAGCATTCCTGCAATATTTCAGGTGGTTTTTAAAACAAAACTGTCTAAATTGGGGGGGAGAAGGGAGAATTTGGGGAATCGGCAGCTGCTCTCATACCCATATAGATGCTACATCTTTTAATCTCTGCCCAGATCTTTGAGTTTCTTCTTTTCAAAGAATAAAAACACATGCTAAAAACAAGGCTGGGAACAACTCTTTAGAATTACACGTCGTCCTTAACTTACAACCATCCATTTAACGACCATTCAAAGTTACAACAGCCCTGAAAAAAAATGACCTAGGACTGGTTTTCACACTTATGACCATTGCAGCATCCCCATGGCCACGTGATCATGTTTTCAGAGAGTTATCCAGCTGATGGATGGACAAAGTCCCAAGGCCCTTGAACCTAAATTTCTTTCAGTTTTTTGCTGGGTTGGTAGGACTAAAAAGATAAGGGAAGCCTACAGAGCAAGCTTTCTAATAATTTTTACAACCCAGGGCAAGCTACTATGGGTCATGTATCCTACAAGGACGGGAGATTAAGAAAGGAGCAGGCAGCAATATTCTGAGCTACTGCCCCACTGCCTCTCCCATACTAATGAATGGGGGCATTTTTATCCACAGCCCCTTGCCAGATGGAGCTCATTTTCAACTCCATGTTTGCTTCTTCCTCCACACCGCATTTCTTCCTGTTCTATTCAGATTTTGGAGAGTTATCTTGCTAGTGCAGGGATCCCCAACCCCTGGTCCACGGACCAGTACCGGGCCGCAGCATGCCAGCAACCGGTCTGCACAAACAAGCAAAGCCCCATCCACGAGAATGCAGGCAGCACACAAAATCATGCACCCTCCGGTCCGCAGAAAAACCTCTCTCCACGGAACCGGTCCCTGGTGCCCCAAAAGGTTGGGGACCTCTGTGCTAATGGACAAAAGTATTGAAACCCCTCCTAACATCTTCTTGACATTCTGTTGAGTTGGAAAGAACGACAGGTGCCTCTGGTTGAGGTGCAGCCTGCTTTGCTACAGTCTCAGAGGGGGGGGGATTATAGGTTGCAATCAAACCCCCTATCTACTTTCTGTTACCTGTCTGCGCAAGGGGATGCTCTTGGCCAGTTTATGGACGGCCAACTGGCTGTTGAAATCGCTCTTCTTGGTGGTACTCTTCATCTTGTAAATGAGGACAGTCACGATCATGCAGGAGATGAGGAAGCCCCCCGTGCAGTAAATGATTATCTCCAAGTACAAAGGGGAAGCCATCATAGCTGGTTTGTCTTCTATAGCTGAATCAGCATAAAGAAAGCATTAGCACAAAAAGATCCTCAATCAAGAACCACGTTGGTCCTGGCATGACACGTTTGTGAGTCTTGACCAACCACGGCTATGGTTTGGTATAATACTTCAATCAGGGCACTAGTGCTTGGTCAAGAAACTATAATTTAAAAAAAAAAACTGGCTTAGTACAGAGTCTGTACCACTGAACATGAAGCTGGGATGTTTCTGTAGGCCTCTGCATGACCTTGAAAGGTGATACCAAAGACTTTGCACCTCTCAACCCAACCAGCATCACCAATTCAGTTTCCAGAATGGACTCTTGTAGGATATGCTGGAATCCCTTCCTTTAGACCAGTAGCTTCACATGTGGCTACTGAGTCTAAAGAAAGTCCATTGATTTTGTTTGATGTTACTGCAGTGGCTGTTTCAAAGGAGGCTTCCTATGACCTTGGGCAGTGCAACAGGATGCTATCTTTCATGCTCTTCCCTCCCAACTGTCCATTAATAAGAAATGCCTGAAAAAATAGGTTTCCAGCTCATTCATTTTGTCCTCGTTGGTAAAAGTTTGCTGACTGGAAGACCACATCGTGCTGTCAAATCAGGCTTTCCAGAATGATACAAGACCAGGTTTGCACAACGGATACGTCAAGGAGATCAAACGGTGCCACTTTATCTCTTGCACCAAACTGGAAAAGGTTTCGCTCTGAAATATTCTCAGCTGAGATGGCAATGCTACCTTACCTGGCTTTTTTTCTAGCTAGTGCCACTGCAGCAACAGCTTAAAACGTGAATATACATTATATAGCTATAGTACCAGCAAGGAAAAAACTGCCGGTATTATAACAATATTCTGAATGTATTATGCAGAGATACTTTAAAAGGGGGATGAAGCAAGAAATCAAAGTTTCCCCCCTCCCCACTCCATCTTTCCTTTCCCAAAATAACAGTAATAAACCGAGAATGGCAGTGGGGATGGGAGGAGGGGAGAGGAGATGGGATCAAAGAGAATTAACAGCCCTGTTATCATCTTTCTCATTAAAGATGGCAGGGCTCTAAATGGGTGGAGATGGGACAAGGAGAGGAATAGTAAGCCCTCATAGCAGAACAGACTTGGAAAGGGGCATGAATACAATCTACAGCAATAGTTCATGCCTTTCTCCCCAGTCAGTTACCAGGTTCTTGCCGGCCACCTACTGATGGCTGGAAAAAGAAGCCATCATCAGGTCAGCAGGCCTGTCCACCAAGAGAAACTCATGCAGAACCTTCTAGCCCACAGAGAATGCAAGACTCCAATCTACCAAGGCAAGATTCCATTCTCATTCAAGGCCATGTAGGAATATGTCTTAATTTGGGTCTTGGGGTACTCAGTCTGGGTAATCCGCTCTTGGGGGAGGGAACTAGGAACCACAGTGGTCCCATCTTCTCCTACGTCTCTTGCATGGAGGTAAACCAGGCAAGGGAAAAAATGGATCTCCGGTTCCTCCAAGCTGAATGGGACAATTCGCCACAGCCAGCCCCCTCCCCCCGAGGCCATCTTGCAATGGAAAACTTGTCGCGGACAACTCGCCATGGACAATTCTATGTGGGATGACTCAATGCGATAAATGCCATCCGCCAATTGTACATGGCAGGTTGTCCATGGCCGTGGGAAGACGGCCACAGCAATGTGTGATGGACACCCTCCAAGTTTCATACATATCTTGTTTGTATCCTTTGGACAGAGTTTGTTCACGTGGATGTATGTATGCAACAATGAGTAATTATTGCAGGAGTATGTTGACTTCTAAGTTGATGTCTTTGTATAGGTGGACCACCCCTGGAGAAAAGGGCAGCCACTGCCTCCTTTAGTTTACAACCGACATTTTATTGTGATGAAAGTGGGCAGAGCTCGATACTCACAAGAATGAGAAAGACCGCGTGCCATGTGTTCTTACTTGCGCACACAGGGGAACATAGACAGGCACTGCAGCCCTGATAAAGAGCCTTATACAACGACTCCTTTGTAGGGACTGTGGCTCATTTGCTTTCTTTTTAAAAAGCAATACAGTTTGGGTGAAGATGCATTGGAGCATTGACAGACGTGTCTCCAATTTGGGAAAAGTTGGGAAATCAAAGGATGCCAAGTGTTGCCCCGACTTCTGTCCTGGGTTTCATTTGGCTGGCCTCCTACCATTTCAGAGTCCATGTCATAAATTCTCCTGGAGTTGAATCTTTGGGGCCCTGTGTGCCAACTCTTGTCTTTTCTCTGCCAAAGACAAAGTGAAGCACAGAAAGGGTGACAGCCTTGCTTGAAAGAATGAAACTGGCCTGTGACAAACCTGGATCTAGCCTCTAGTTGAACTCAAATTAGAAATGAACAAGACCTTGGTGGCCTGCAAGAGCCACGATGGGGCTGTGATCGTCCCAATTTGGCGGATGAGAAAATAGGACCAAATGAGAGGTGATGGCTTACCTGCAGGATGATAGGGACTTTCTCTCCTAAACAGGGGCTGCCAGATACATCTTGGTTAACCAACATACAATCCCATCCCTAAGAGGAAGCCAATTGGTGGGGGCCCTCTACCACTCCTCCTCCTTCCCTACCTCCAAGGAGCCCGGCTCTTGCAAACCATTGGTCAGCTACTTCCCAAAGCTAGTCAAAGAGACAGCGAGGAGACAGAGAAAGGAACAGAACCGGTATATACCTTCTAGAACCGTCAACCATGCAGAGTGATGCGAGATCCCAATAGAATTACCCGCCAAACAAGTATATTGCCCTGCATCCTCAAAGGAGACATTCCTTAAGTGAAGGACTTCCATTTCTTTGTCAGTTGTGTTAACACCAGCTGTCTAGAGAGGGGAAAAAAATGGAAGCAAAACAAAACAAAAAGGAAAAAAAAGGGGGGGAAATAGGACGAGCAAATGTAAGACAAGCTGAAGGAAGAGGAAGGAGATAACATGCCTCTCAAGACTCCTGAAGGACACAGAGACACCACTGTAGCCTAATGACAGACAGCCTTAGGGCAACCACCAATCCAGGCTGGCTTAAAGCGGGCAGTGTTAAAAACAAACAATAAAAACAACCCTTCACCATATTGAATTTCCCTGCCCATCGACATGCTGGGGGATGGGCCACATGGAAAAATGGACCTTGGGAAGGCAAAGACCAGCTTAGTTTCACGGCATGGGACAAGCCAAGGGGTGGATGGAAATGGAAGAGGCAGACAAGAGAGAAAGATTGGGGGACAGAGCTGACAGACTCTTACAAGACAAGAGGGAGCAGGTTGTTTCCAATAGGAAAACACCCAAGAGAAGCCGCCATTTTGTTTTGTCTGGAAAAAGTCAAGACAACTGCAGAATTCAAAATCAGACTTACTAAAAAGGAAGGCTTACGTCACTGACAACCAGGTTGAAAGCAACGGGGCAAACAGTGTAACACCCCCACACAGGTGCATTTCTTTTTAAGGAGGTTTTGATTTTGCTGTCTCAAAAGGAGATCTAGGCTGAGACAGCAATAACTGAAATATTTAATCATTTGGAAAGAAATGAGATTGTTATCAGCATTCTTCAGATCAGCTTATAACAGAGCCCCGATGGGAGAAAAAATAATAATAATAGCCCCACAATTTGGTGTTCAAGCAGAAAAAGTTTAGGAATAGTTTTTCACTTCTAGTTTAATTCGTAAAGGATTAGGAAAAGGATGAACGAAACAACACAATGTTAGGAAGAGGGAGAGAAGAAGAGCGTGAAACATAGCTGATCGGCCATTCCGAGGATTTTTCCATGGCTTATGGCACCAGAAACAGAGGAGAAACAGGAGAGCCACAAAAGTTTGGTTTTTCCACCACTAAGAATTGCCCAAAGTGGCATTCTTCCCGTTTACCTTCAGCCATGGGTCTGGTGACGGTCAGCCACGCAGACTGGTTAGCCTCACCAATATAATTGGAAACCTTACAAACATACTCCCCGCTTTCAGCCTCTGTCACATTATAGAGGGTCAGCACTTCCGCATCAGAGCTATTAATTCCCGAGTGCTAGAACAAGACCAACAACACAGGAGTCACTGGGAAGCCAAGGGATGGGCTTTGCAGCTGTGAGATAACACCAACAACCATACCTCCCCCTTGCCTCAACCCAAAACAAGGGATGGGACACTCCCAGTTTCCTGGCATCTCTCATTTTGAGGAAGCTCTAGGGCAGGGGTGTCCAATTTTGGCACTTTTAAGATGCATGGACTTCAACTCCCACAATTTCCCCCGCCAATTGGGGAATTTTGGGAGTTGAGGTGAAGTTCACGCATCTTAACATGGCCAACGTTGGGAAAGGGACACACACTATATCATACCCCTGTCTTGTTTAAGATATACCTTGTACCAGACATCAGTAATAACAAGAGGCTCATGGACAGCAGTATTATTCCTAGACATATCCTTGGTGTGTCTAGGAACAACGCTTTAAAAGGGACTCTGTCCCTTTTAAAATTTTCTCAATGTTTACTTTTCAAAAGATTTCAGTAGGAAGGTGACATCATGCATTCCACAGCACTGGGCCCAGATCCTCTTCATTTACCGAATGTCTTTGAGCCCCTCCAGGGATGTCGAGAACATTTCGGGGGACCAGTATGCCTTTTGGTAAATAAATGGTGTTTGCCTGTGATACTCAGTGGCACAGCCATTTTATTTATTTATTTATTGAATTTGTATGCCGCTTCGCCAATGGTGAAGCCCTCAGTGGCAGCCATTTTGTGAATGCATCCACCATATGCTTCCAAAAGTCCACCCACGACCTTAGCTTACAGGTTGTCTCCCTAACATATGCTAAAGGAGCAAGGGTATTAATTTTAAACTGGGCTATGTGGCCCAGTTCAGCTCCACAGATGCAGTCTTACCAGAAGACACTGGGAAACATCATGAATTTTTTCTTGGCATACAAGGATATTTAAAAGCAATCTTTAACATTCAATAAGGAGAGCCTTAAATAAAAGAAGTCCCTGGCCATTTCAGAGTCTTCAGCAATGTCTACTCAATGACTGCATTTGATTCTATTTATGGTAATAGACATGAACCATGGTATCTGAGCTTCATTCAATCTGAGATCTCCTTCAGAACCTGCTTCCCTTTTGTAGATTTATCTAGAACTGCCAAGTTCCAAACTTAAGTCGAGTTGGCATCGTCTGTCTGATTGACCGGACCCATATTATTTCTTCAATCTAAGCTACATGGCCATGTTCCTGAGATGCATCATAAGCTTCCCCTCCTAAACTTTAAGAAATAAGCCCCAAATTAACTAAAATGTCACATCACCCAAGCTGAAAGACCTTACCTTCAAGACCTGAACAAAAGGCAAGTTATTTGGTCCAATCTTGCTTCCATTGACTTCAATGTGCTTCAGCCATTGGATGTGGGGCTGAGGGTCGCTATAGACCTTGCAGACAAACTCCACATTGCTACCTAGTGAGACGGTCTTGTTAGCTGGGAGTCCAGCTTGTAAAATAGGCCGGTGAGGAGATCGCTCTAGAAAAGAAATAGGAGAATAGAGTTTCCAGCAGGCTGATAAATGAAACAGAGGAAAAAATGGAGAGAGAGTCCATAACGCTCTGCCAATTTATTTTGAAGCGGCCTGTCAGTCAGGAGAGTTCACTCCAGAAAGAAAGAAAAAGAAATATTACAAACAAAAACTAGAAGCTTAGCAAACAAAAAAAGTAGATTACAATAAATGTTACGACTTGAAAGAAACTTAAGCGAGCAATCACGTGTACCTAGACCAAACAAAATATAAAATCTGTTATCAGTTAAATGTCCGAAGGATATAATTCCATTCAGGATACAAAATCTCCATGTCTGGTTAATTTGTGAATTTGATTTTTCACGATCGTGGCCTGTTATAAAGACATGCATTTAGGGATATAGTTTTTAAAATAGATATTCTCCTTTGCAAGCAAGTTCTCAGTGTTTTGGAAGGACTCTTCCACCACATACTAATTTTTGCGTGGATTTTGCTTTATTTTACACTTTCCAAAAGCGGTGCATTATAAAATTCTGGAAAAAATGCAATAAATAACAGTAGAGGGCTCCTTGGTGTCAGCCTGGCAAGTTAGTTATTTATCTTTTCCTGAATTCCATAAAAAGGAAGCCCTATTAAGATGGTCCACTGCCTGCTCACTACTGCTAAAAGAAAAAGGAAAACGGTACAAACTACACAGCCAAGTTCCACATCTCTCTGCATTTTGAATACTCCTTTCTCTGCGCTGTACTGGGATGCTAGAAAACCAGTTTGAAGAAAGGGATTTCTGCCGCACAACTAATGACTGAAGAAAACTAGAGATTTGGAGATGTTTTGAGATACCAGAGGTGGCTCTGGATATCAACTCAACTGAGGCAATCGGAACTCGTTTATTAACAACACCCACACCAGTATCCCCCCAGTTCCAAGGGGGAAAAAAACCCAATCCTCACCTCTTTGACATCCTCCTCACATCAACAATGATTCTCTTCTAACATGACTCTCAGAGAATTCTTTTTTTAGCAAGATTTGTTGAGATGCCATGGATGGAGTTACAAAATCCCAACCAGAAAACTCCTTTCCATGTCATACCAATGTGCACCAAAGTTCATTAGGCTGGGAGCTTCTCTCTGTCTCTCTCTCTCTCTCCCTCCTTCTGTTTTCTTTTCTTTTCTTTCTTTCTTTCTTTCTTTCTTTCTTTCTTTCTTTCTTTCTTTCTTTCTTTCTTTCCTTCTTTCCTTCCTTCCTTCCTTCCTCTCTGTCTCTCTGTCTTTGTCTCTGTCTCTCTCTCTCTTCTTTCTCTTTCTTTCTTTCTTTCTTTCTTTCTTTCTTTCCTTCCTTTCTTCCTTTCTTTCTTTCCTTTCTTTCTCTGGCTTTCTGAGAACTTGAGAGCTGGGATTCTTTCCATTGATAAAGGGCCTTGCAGGTGGTTCTTTACATGACCTTCTCATGAATCTTTATGAGAGAACCACGCTGTAGCCTTTTATGATGTTAAAGGTAAAAATCCTCTTCAACAGCCTTGCTTTTTTGGCAATTCTATGGAAGCATCAATATTTTCTTGGCAATACAGAGCAGCGGTTGCCCTTGCCCTTTCCCATTTTTAAAAAAAAATCTTTTCAGTCTATTTTACAGCCCTAATATTCTTTCATTGCCTCCCATTCAAATGCTAACTAGGATGAATCCTACCATTTTAGCTCAGAAAAGGTCAGCTAGGTAGGGCTACCTGCTGAGACTTTACAATACCTAGGCCTTAAATAAGCTTTATACTCCCCTTTGTGCACGTTGGACTGCAGGGGCAAATTTTGATTATGCAGCGTTGGGGGAGAGGGAGATTCCCGAAGCTGCAAATTTTGATGGCAGAGAAGGTCACACGTGGGTCACTTCTATGCTTTAGGAGAAGCGCGTTTTTGAATCGCCTGGCCAGAAAAAGCTCTAAAGCAGTTGATTGAACCCCGCAGCTAGTCAGATGCGGATCAGGAGTGGAGTGGGCAACTTCTTAGAAACAAAAGAGCATTACGACAGCTGGCACAGAAACTAAAGTTGTCTGCCTTCTTCACATCTTCGCTTCTGATGTAACAAAGCAGGGATTAGGAAAAAAAAAATGTTTTCCCCTTAATTACAAGAAGCCGGAGCCAAAATTATGATTATTATTTTTCATTATAGCCTGTCACTTATTAAAAATATGAAGGGAATATGTCCTTGTTGCTGCTTGTTAATAGTTCTCAGTGAATGTCCCCACCTCTGTATTCTACAGTCAAACTCCACTTTGAGAAGGAAGTATCACAGGACCAGTCCTTTAACTGCCAAAAGCTGTGATTACCTTGGATTAAAAGGCAAACTTTTGCAAAACTTCACATGACTGTCCTCATCCATAAGGAATAAATGGGCCATGTTTTCAATCTCTATGCCCATCTGGGTTGCTATCAGCTTCATTAGAGAGATCAAGCTGGGGTCTCTTAGCTCTTGTATGAAAGCCAGTATGAAGTCTTCGTGCTAGCAGTTGCTTCCTAAGACACCCCATGAAATAATACTTAATTAATCTATTTCCCAAAAGCAAGAACAAATTAATCCCAACATCTCAGAGTTCATTGCCTATGGAAAATGCCACATAATATGAAGCATTTTATTTAAAACAACAACAAAAAACCCTATTGGGAAAAATGAACAGGTTAGATCAGAAGTTCCAACAAATATTTAGTTTCTATTTGTGGATTTATAGTAATAAAAAAACATGACTAGGTAAATCATCAGGTGTCTGGTCCAAGTAATAGTAATAGTAATAAAGTTGGAAGGGACCTTGGAGGTCATCGAGCCCAACCCCCTGCTCAGGCAGGAAACCCTACACCATTTCGGACAAATGTGGTGAAGTGAAGATTGTTTTTGATTTTCTTCTCTGAAGCTATCTATTCTATATTCACTTCTCACTCCCTTTTTCTCCCCCACTATGGATTTCAGTGAACACAACTGAACCTGAGTGGAACTGGAGTTGGGCTTCAAGGGGGCAGGGACGGTAGCAAAGATGGCTACCTCTTCATTGGAAGTCAAAGGTCAAACAAATCTAACAAGGCCCTAGCTGATTAACAAAGAAGCAGACACCATAGTGAGTGAGCATTAACCAGCTCCTTTGTTCCCCCTTGCAAACTATTTCCTTCAGTTTGCTCAGTGTAATCAAATTAAATTGCATTCTTAATGCTTCATTTAGTGGCATTTAGAGCAACTCCACAAAGGACTGAGATCACCAAGCCTAGGTTGGGAATCAAGGCTAATAAGGAAATTAATTGGGGAGGCTGATGGGAAAAAGTTCTTGTATAGCCTGCGAAATTACCATAAATGTGACACGCAAGAAGAGACAAAGCCTTGTGTTTGAGGGGTGGAGACAGTCTTCTGAGTCCACCCAGTGGAGAAGCTAGTATGGGTGAAAATTGGAAAAGTGAATTCTTTGGAACGGCCTGTCTTTGGACACAGAGGCAATCACAAGCAAAAGGCAGCATTCGTTTTGTCTGTCTCCTCCAAAAACACTTGGATGTTTATGGAGAAATTCTGCCTGTACCTTCTAAGGCAGGGGTGTCCACCCTTGGCCACTTTAAGACTCGTGGACTTCAACTCCCAGAATCCCCCAGCCAGCATGGACACTCCTGATCTAAGGAGTTTCTGAAGACCAAAGAAAACAAGCAATACACCGTAGAACAACAAGAAGAGCTGGTGGGTGGAGTTCAGTGTATCCATAGCTTAGAATTGTTCCATTCCCACAAATGGTCTGAGGGATTAATGCCAGGCGCAAAGCATCAGGACCATACATGAAGTTGCAGTTCAGAAGATTTACTGCACAAGGCTATACACATTCTAGTCAACTAAAATTCAGTGCTACATTGGCACCAGACAAGGGTAAATGGAATTCAAGGGCTTGGAGCTGTTTGTGAGAACGTAATGACTCTAAGCTAATGGTGCGCTTAACTCCAGACCCCAGTTCTGCCCGTTCTTCTCCTAGCTAAACCACTCTGTTACAAGGAGTTAAGAATCAACTTGAATTATATCCCAGTGGTGAATAAAAACCATCAAAAGAAGACGATACAGAGAGAGCTATTGGAAAAGAACTTTCCAGGCCTCGTCCTGCTTTTCAATTCTTTTTCATTCAAAGCAGGAAATAGGCTGGCTGCATCACCAAGGCAAAGATCTCGTTGTCCGGGAGCTCTGAAGCTTCCCATGTTTCTTACATCAGCATTGTTCTTTTCATATACAAATACAAACACGCACAGATTCCTACACCAGAAGATTACTGGTGCCAAAAAGATATTGGTCCCAGAACTGATCATCATATCATTTCACAGACATTCTGCAGCCAAACTAAAACACTGTCAGTTATGAGCAGTCCAATCGTGGATGGAGCTGTCCATGGTTTACATAGGAAATCAAATTTACCCAAAAGATTAGCTGTATCTTGTCAGCCAGAGATAAAGTCCTGGTTTGCCCTTAGCTTGCTTAGCATGATGCACTGAACAAACCACAAACCAAGGCATCTGTTACTGGTCAGTCAAGTCTACTTACAAGATGAGCCAGATATCACAAATTAGCCTACACTGCTTTGCGCAAATTGCCTTAGTGATTTCCCCCCTCCCTTCTCAAGGTTCCCATTTCTTACCAACAACATCAAGCTGGTAGGTGTGATTGATGACTCCGTATTTATTCTCCACAATGCAAGTGTAGTTGCCTTTATCCGATGGGACCACAGAGTCCATGATGATGCTCCAAGTTGCATGACGAACCTGTAGAAAGAGGATGTAGTGACTCAGTGAGACTACCTGTTGACTAAGGGTTGGGACTCAAGCACAAAAGGAGATGGTGGACGTTACTGCACTTTTGTCTTTTCTTATTAGAGCAGGGGTCTTCAAACCTGGCCCTTTTATGACTTGTGGACTTCAACTCCCAGAATTCCTCAGCCAGGCATGCTGGCTGAGGAATTCTGGGAGTTGAAGTCCATAAGTCATAAAAGGGCCAAGTTTGAAGACCCCTGTCTTAGAGCAAGACCAAAGGTCTCTCCAGATCCTTTATTGCTTGGGTTTTGGCTGCATGTAACATCATCAAGTTGAGGTTATGTTTCCCCCTTGGAGCCTACAGACTCATAATTGCTGTCAGCTGCAGGGTTGACCACAGAACTATCTACATCTGGAAACAGATATTCTTGAAGAGTGGGATGAGGTTGCTTTGCCAGCACAGGAACCAGACCTGAAAATACCTCCAGTTGCTTTCCTCCCATGAAGGAAGGTTAGTTAGCCCCAAGTTTAACCAACAAACCGCATAGTCTTTTATTTGCAGAATCTCCAAATCTGGAATCTGAATGTGTGGACCACCTGTTCTTTCACCGTGACTGTGTATCAGTCCACCATATTCCACCTTGCAGGTTGCAAAACCCCTCACCATGCAACTTAGAAAACTCAGCACAGACAATACCTCAAGCTAAATAACATGCACAGGACCGTAAGTTACAACCTACGTAAAAAGAAGGAGCTAAAATGTAACCTCGTGAAAACATGCAATTTTATTAAAAATCAAGGAGATTTTTTTTTTTTTAAAAAAAATGCCTTGGAAAAGTTAAAGCAAAAATCCAAAAGGTCAGAACTTGAGCTTTGCAGTTGGTTGAGAGTCTGCAGACCATAGCCAGTGATGCTTAGAAAAATACACAGAAATACAGAGAAAATACTACAGCAGGCAGATTCTTGCTGTTTTATTGCAAATGGAAGGACTTCCATACTGGGGATTTATCTTAATTTTTGTCATTCACATTTCATTTTGTCCCTCCTTTAGTATTCTTTCTTGAATGGTTGTATTTCACCATTTCTTTGATATATAGGCTCCTGAACTTGGAGTTAATGCTGAATCTGGTCAACAAGTATGCCTTTTTGTACAAGTGCTAAGATACAAAACATTGACCCTGTTTTTTTAAAAAAATGGAAAAAACAACCCCATTCACACCATAGGTTTTCACCGAAATTGCACAAATTCACAATTCTGTGCGTCTCTCAAAGAGAGAAGCTGGATGACATCCTTCAGTCTCTGTTTCTCTCTCTCTCTGTGTCTCTCTCTCTCTCTTGCAGTCTCTCTCTTGCAGTCTCTCTCTCTCTCTCTCTCTCTGTCCCTCTCTGTCTCTCTTGCTCTCTCTCTCTCTCGCTGTCTCTGTCTCTCTCTCTCTCTCTGTGTCTCTCTCTCTCTCTGTCTCTCTCTCTCTCTGAGTCTCTCTGTCTCTCTCTCTCTCTGAGTGTCTCTCTGGCTGTCTCTCTCTCGCTGTCTCTGTCTCTCTCTCTCTCTCTCTCTCTCTCT